CTATGTTTTTGTTTTTAAAAATTACGTGCAAAATTATGTTACTGTTTTAATAAGGTGGCTCGTGCATAAACCGATCAAAAATAGAAAAACGTCAAATTTAAGTATTATATATTGTAGTTGTAAGTTTTATCTATCGGTAAGCGAAAATTCAGATTTGGTTGCCGATGACATAAAAGAAAGAAAAAAATATTAAAGGTGTACATTTTCCAGCAAGTAACAGTTATAAGTTAATGTAATGTAACACCCATGTTATATTACATTTATATTGTTAGGTAGGAAATTATAATATTGATATTATGTAACTATTATTTGGTGTTCACTGGGATAGGGGTGGGCCGATCATTCAGAAGCACTTTGAGGGTTAATATTATTTTATAGAAATACTAGATTTTAACAAAAAAAACCGAGACAAACATAATAAATGTTACAAGGATGCAAATGCGCTACTCTGGGGAAAAAAAAGACAGTTATAATCCATTTTGGGTCCCATCATTAGTAATCGAATTATTTGGATTGTTCGTAACTCTACTCTGGGAAAAATTTTAACCGTTTTTTTATGTAGTTAAACAACTTAACATTTCGGTTAGTGCCACTTAAGTGAAAATTATCTTTGCGTTACTGAATATCGACAGAACTAATTGAGAGAATTGATTAGTATTACTTAAAAATTTTGGATATAGATAGAACAGCTAATTGTGATTTTTAGTTACGCGGGATAAAATTCTTAAAAGATTAGAGTTACGAACAATCTAAATAATTCGATTACTAATTGTGGACCCCAAAATGGGTTGTAACTGACTTTCTTTTTCCCAGAGTACTAGGGCCCGGTTTCGCCAAACGTCGCTTAACTTTAATCTTGGTTTAATTCATGTTTGTCTCTTTCTAGTTAGACAACATGGTATTTAATAATGTATTCTCGCCTTTATAACAGAGGAAGAAGTAATCTGAGAAATGGATACTAAATATGTTAAGACTTACGGAGATTTTACCCACACGTATCGCGCGTACGAGCGATACATATTTTACGGTACTTAAACGGTGTGCCCGCATGCGGATGTCGGATAGTCTTGGTTGTTTACACACGACGACTTAAGGCGAGAGATTGGAAGGAGCTGTTTGTCTAACTAACACAACTCCCGTATGATAAGTCGATAACTACTTGGATGTATAATAGCTCGCTAAGTAAAGCAAATTTGTTGGTGCCCATTACAAACAGCATCAATATGATTTTCTTTCGAGTATGAAGTGTTCAATTAGTCTGATTCATATCTTGCTACGTTATTTTATTACAACTTAATAGACTAGATATATCGGATGAAAACGTAAAATAATTCATTTTATATAAAAATTTCAAACAAAGTGAAAGAATATGAAAAAAAAGGTTGGATCAATATGAAAAGCTAAAAAATTTAATCTTCTATTCAGAAACAGAAGCCATTTTCAATTTTCGTATTAGTTAGCGGTTTGCTCGCATCTGTGCATATATCCACATAATTATTTTTTTTTTTGTATAAATTAATTCTTCTAACTTCTTCTAATTATGTTTTGCATATAAAAGTACTTAATAATAACCGAAAAACAAATATTTACCTTGACTTATTTTGCAAAAGTGTATATTAAATTTTAAATTTTAATTTATTCCTATATATTTTGTTACTACAATGTTTTATATTTTATTTTGTAAAGCATTTACTGTAAGATGATTCTAATATTTTTATGTACAAAATAATAGACGAAAGTCCTTTATTATGAGATAGGCTTTTAATATAAGATAGCAGGAGAGAAATTTCCCTTAAAACTTACCCTGGAAATCATGCAATCATTTTTTTGACAAATTTTTTGACAATTTTTTGAAACTTTACCGTACATTTTACTAGTAAAATGTGTACTGAGTATAATTACTAGTGAAATATATGGTAAAATTTCGAATAAACCCTCCTACAATTCTTCGAAGTGCCGCGTTGTCCCACAATTACATGATTTTCAGAATAAATTTTAAGAGAAAATTCTCTCCATGCAGGTTTTCAACAGTTTTACCAATCTTTTTTGCAACAATCACGCACACTACACGCACGATCGATTAATTTCACTCCAAGGACAATAAATTTACGGTGGGACCAACAGAAATGTTTATTAATTTAGCAAGAACCCCGTTATCTCATATTAGGAGTTTATCTCATAGTAAGGTACTCTCCTCTATACATATACATTAATTTTTCGGTTTGTTTGTTCGATACTTTTTATTTTACTTTACTAATCAGTACTCAAGTGATTTACTCGTAAATTGACACTTGGAAACTCTTTTTTCTCACAATTATATAAAATCATGGAACATTTTCCACTGATATTAAATGAGGTTTAAACTTACGTATCTGAGACTAGGCTATCTCCACATCTACTTTATTTAACTGTCCACCTAGACATCGTCGGCAGACATCCTTCAATATTCTTTGATGTTACATTACCGGACGAGATTTAATCAGCCGCAAGTAATTCGACAAAAGCGCGGAGCAAAAGGTGTCACCGCGTGCGGCGGTTTAGGCGGAAATGAAAGGTCCCGTGCACTCTCTCCGGTGTATATTGCAATTGCGGCGCTTTGTCGTTGCGTGTGTCGCGGACATGGGGATGAAGTGGATATCAGCCAAGGGTAGTCGATTTAAGAGTCGTCATTAACGCCCGGAGCGGATCGCGAGTGTTGTTGACAGCGTAAAACTGAAATCTATTTAGCTCCCAATCATGTAAACGGTATCGCATGAATTACTAAGGTATGGATTACAGCGTTTGAAGTTAAATAATACAGTTTTATCGGGAAATTTTATATTTTTGGAAATAAGCGTTTTTTTTATAAATGAAAAACTGTCTAATT